GTTGATCGATTCTGACGATAAGTATTAAGTGACACCAGTTAGAAGTTAGTAGTCCAGTCAATCGACATCTAAATAATGTACATTCTTTTCTCTGCATATTGCCAGCAACTATGATTTCTCTGATTAGACCTCTTGTAACTTGTACAACGAAAGGTTGTACATTTATTAGAAACGCATCTGAATGGGTTATACAACTAATAATCATAATAATATATTAAAACAAACAAAATTAGGATAGCTTGTTGAAATATTTAAATGACAGGAACATGTAGCTTCATTGTATCTAACTATCTGTCTATCTATTTATCTATACATCATTCCTTACTTTTGCAATACGGAAACAATATGGTCTTCATCTTCAGTATTCATCACTATCCTTCAAAATGCATCAAATATCCCTATATCTCACTAGTTTGTTTGATGGCATTTGAACTTTTTGCATTAAAATTGTTACATATTTAATGCTATTTATTAAATAATTGGATTGTCTTCTTAAATTATTCGATTGTTACTTGGAAACATTCAATTCCAAAAAGATTATTTTTTTCTTTCTATATAGTCTTTTAATGAAAACGTAATGTAACAAATCATATCAAAATCTATTCTGTCAAATGACACTATGTATCTAATGTATATGCATAATCATGTTTCGCAATCAAGTATATACGCGTATGTAATGAGAATTAGTTTAATGTAGAGCTTCTTTACCGCCGAAATCACTTCTATTGTATGCATATGTGTATGTTTGTGTGTGTGTGTGTGTGCGCAAACATAAATTCAATGAATGCATCAATAAAATGCGACAACGTGTGATAATTCTATGAAAATCCAAAAAAGTACTTTGACTGATTATAAAATGATATCCGTATAAATTTCCTATGACTGAAATGAAGAAAGATTAGAGAGATGAATTAGAGCATTACTGGATATTCCTTGTTTAAACATTTATAGTCGCTATGATTGTTATTATTATTGGTGTTGGGACAGATTCCGAGAATCATGATGGAGCCTCTAGAGGCCCTAAACAAGCCGAAGAGTTTCCATCTAATCAGAACGTGATACAGCTTTCTAGAATATCAACGTGGCATGCTACGATTGGATAGTATCATAACTTGTCTCTTTTGCGGATTGGTTGAATTATAATGATATTACAACAAATGCTAATATCTATAAATACCCATGATTTTCCATACATTTCGATTCATACCCAAGCAAACACTTCTTTAGGTTTCTTCTGTCTTCTGACTTTGCAACCGTAGGGTTCTATATGTTCGAGTGACGTAGTGAAATGATCACTTCCTCCATCTTTGTAAGAAATGGCGGTAGGCTTGCCCCATTCTGTGTTTTTCCGCTGGCTTTTCGGGTTCGCTGAAAAATTCACAGTATAAAGTAGTTTTTTGTTAAATAAAAATTTACATCATAATATGATAAATTAATCGACTATATGAATTCGGTCTTTGATACACTAAGTTGACATGACAATGTTAAGTATATTTCCATCTAGAAAAATGCTTTAATACAATACGTATTTCTGATTAGAGACTTTGTTTATATAGCTGAAAGCTGATTACATTGGCACACAAGTATAATCTATTTATATGCACTGTGAAATATTGAATTACCCACCATGTTACGCCATATTCTATTTTTACTTGTTTATTTCTGATAGGAATTTTATACAGTACGAAATAGTGTCCATATAAAATTCGATATCAGTGTACTAACAAATGAACATTAAAAATATATTCTCCAATTTTTAAGTGAAGATGGATAGTGTTCAGCAGTGGGTTCCAGTTTGACGAGCGTTTCGTCCTATTCGGGACTCGTCAGCTGGATGTACCTGTATCCCAGAGTTCATGTTCACCTGCACAAGCAGGTGGCTATCAGAATTCAGTAGCTAAGTGGATAACGCTATGGCCTTCGAAGCGAAAGGTACTGAGTTCAAATCCCAGAGTGAACATTAGCTCTGGGATGCAGGTACATCCAGATGACGAGTCCCACATATGCCAACGTGAGACTAACCAATTTCAGTCCTAAATAACAATGGGAAGATACATGCGAAACAACACCAAGTGGATATTCCCCAGTTGTTTCATACTGTTCAATAAACTACTTCTATATACGTATACGCTAACACAGACTACTAGTGAAAAGAAACATATTGCTACTCACTTATATCAATCTATATAGATGGCTACAAACAGAAATTCCATTCAAGAAAGTTCGAAATTCTGAATTTCTAGGAATTTTCAGAATTGCAAATAATTTCTAGAAGCATAATATTCTGGTCACTTTGTAGTGTCGGTTGCTATGTTTAGCCCATATACGTTATTCTAGTTTCTGGACAGGCCAATTTATTCATTCTGCTTGAGTCACGTTGTCACCTTGTTAATTATTCATCTATCAATCTTGACTGCTTTTATATGAGCGTATGTGTAAGTGCACTTCTTCCCCTATTCATCACATATCTGTGACTTATTTTTGTGTGACTACGAATATCGATTAACGCTTGATTAAACTGAGTTGGCTCATTCGTCTTCTCCACTGAGTGTCATTTCACTTCACTTTTTTTCTCTTCACTTCGTTCTCCTGATTGTCTGTTCAGATCAACGATTGTACAAAATATACATATTCAACCATCCATTCTCGTATTTGACTTATTCAATACCATTATTTACTAAGGTGATTTAAGTCGTTAATTATATGCGAAGAATGATGATATGTATATTTCAATAGTAATCAGAAACAATCCAGTTAGAGTTAGATATCGGACCACTAAAACTTTATATTCAATAAATATATTGATTCAAATTTCAGTCTAGGTTGAAAAGATAGACAAAGTAGATAACTAAGGGTTAATTGAACAGACTAGTTAAACAGAAACACAAAGATACATGAAGTTAATAAAATATATGGTAACAACAATCTGGAAACAAGGTTCTCAAAACGAATTGACTTAATATATGTGAAATAAATGAAAAACTCCCTTGGAAATAAAGTAGATGTTAATGATGTTATCTAGAATAACAATGAAAACTTTACAATTAAACTATTGAGCACAAAAAAAAAACCACAACTCAACACTGTCAAAAACATTCACTTAAATCTACAAATTCTCCCTATCAGTTGGAAAACAATTGAACTGGTTAAACCCTTCTTTTAACAAACTAAACAACATAATCAATAAGATAATTCATCAATCGATAATATAACACATTATACTATTTCTTATATTCATGAGATCGTTCAAAATACCTGAAACTCATTGATTAGAAGTAAAAATGAGCTTTTAAGCACCGTATGATCGATCAAAAATAATAAAAATCGATAGTCATCAAACAATATATGTATATATATATATATCCCGGGTAAAGGAGGAGGACTGGGCATGGAGTCAGCATTCTCGTTCCATACAAAATAACCTTGCTAAAAAAGACGCTAATATTACGCCTGTTACTCCTCAGGAAGGAGAATAGGTCGCTCACCAGTTATTTAGAAATACCTGTACTTCGAGTTTCAGCTCCATACAATAGAACTAACTGTCCTGAAGATCGTATTGAAGATTTTGACTTTTATATTGGTTGATAGTTGTTTTGAGTTCCATATATTCTTCAACTGTGAGAATGCTGTCCTTGCTTTGGCAATCCTCGCCTTTACGTCTGCATCGTATCCCTGAATTTAATCGATGATGCTACACAGATACGTGAAAGTTTCCACCTCTTCCAGAGGATCTTGGTTTTCTCTTGTGTATGTTGAGGTCTACTGATGAGGAAGCTGATGCTACGCTAGTTGTCGTTATTTGCATATTTTTCGTATGTATGGAATAGAGGGGCTTGGTCATCTACGAAGTCTGAATAATCTACTTCCATACAAGCTGTACATTGTATTCCGATGTCGAGGCCTTCATAATCCATTCAATTATCAGAACAAAGAGAAAAGAGGAGAGTAGGCAGCTTTGTCGGACTCCTGTTTTCACTTGGAATGCATCTATCAGCTGTCTTTCATGCATGAATTTATAATACAATCCGTTGTGTGAATTCCGTATGATGTTGACAATCTTCTCAGTTACATTATAGTGTTAAAGAAGTCTCCATAAACTTTATTCAATTGATTATTCAACAATGATCCATAGTATTAAGATCTTTATGAATTCTATGCGTCTTATGATTGTACAATTCGATAACTTTATGTTCATAAGAAATTTGTAACATCTTCATCACTCTCTTGGCCTGAATAAGTGATTTTGTTTATTATTGTTTTTCATACTATTTCTTCGTTTAGTTTTCTTCACACCATCTTACACTTTCTTTTTCTAAAATATACATTTCACGGTCCAATTATCTGAACACTTCTTATAACGCAATCTTTTAATCAAAGATGGATAGTGGCTAGTAGTGTAATCCAGGACACTCGCCACTTCGTCCTACTTGAGACTTGTCAGTTGGATGTACCTGTATCCTAAAGTTGATGTTCACTGTGGGACTCGAACTCAGTACCGTTCGATTCAAATGCCATCACACTATGCACTTATCTACTGAATCCTGATAGCTAGGACTAGTGTAATGGAGTGACGTTTAAATTCACTTGGTGTTATTTTACATGTATTTTCCGATTGTTATTTAGAACTGATATTGATCAGTCTCTTGTTGGCATATGTGCATCATAGATTTTTTTATAGTTACGATAGTGATAAATTTTAATAGGTAGTCGGTATATGACGTCATGTCAAATATTAATTTATGGAGAATCATACCAGAGGGAATACATATATATATATATAGTATATATGTTACATTAACCATTGATTTTCTGTAACCTAACTATTGATAATAATAGACTGTTTCAGAAATGTCATTTCATGCAAATTGATGAAAGACTGGTAGTTCTATGGAAGAAAAATGACTTTAAAAATGATTATATCTTAATATATATTTCTCCTATTTGACTGTACAATCTATAAAGTTTTAGATTGGTTAATCTTATGTAATAGGGAAGAAATAGAAAAAAGTGGATCATAAATTGATCTTAGCTAGATAACCACTGGCAATTAGAAATCATTGAACAACGGTGTGCATCCATAACTTTATCGAAGATCGAACAAATGACCATATATCTTGCACTGTGAGCTGGCATTCAGTAGTGAGTATGTCTAACTTCACTCAGACTGATCTCAATTAGGTTGTCTAAGTATAGGATTCTCAGTATTATTTGACTCTAATTGCAGTAGCGATCGTACCTAAGAACAAATAGTTTTGTTGAGAATATTTAACTTTTAGAATCACTGGGTTCGTTCCAATTTAACAATTTCAACATCAATCTATTTGTAATATACGGCAAAGATCATGGAATTTCATTAATGACAATTGTTTGATTCTCGGCATTTCTAAACTCCATCAGTTATGATTTCAAGAATAAATTGAAGTAATTCACTATTGAGCTAGCTAACATAGTTGAAATATTTTCGTCAAGAACAATATAGAATTCTTAGAATAAAGCGCTTCAACACATCTCCACTTCTCTTATTTCTTCATCGATCATGACGATAAACATTGAGTGATCACCGATCAGATGTTAGCAGTTTAGGAATTGATATCTAAATCATGTTCATTCTTTTCAATGTATATTGTCTATCAACCACCATGATATCTTTAATTGTACTGTTTTTGTAATTTGCATATAGAAATGTTGTTAACTTTTCATAAACGTACTTGAATAGATTGTTCAATTAATTGACATAATGATCTATTGAAATAAACAAGAGACAGATAACTTGTTGAAATGTCTAGATGACAGGAACATATAGTTCAAATATTCAACCAGGTTATCATGTTACAAGTAAATCTCACATTGATTTTCAGCTGGAATACTGGATAATTTTTTGGTTCTAATATAGAATCGAGATCATTCAGTAATAAATACGACTTATAAGTTAAAATAATCTCCATAAAATCCCTAATATTACTTTATCGTAAAATTAATATTTATGTTTTTAATAATTATTATGTATTTTTTCAATTGAGATCATGAATAGATCAATGTTGGACCACCATTAAAAACCTGAAATCAATCGACAACCGTTTGGTCCAAGTATAGAACTCTTCAGAAGTATACATCCACAATCCCGTACGTGAGGTTTGAAACTTCGATCACATGTGAGAACATTTAACCTTTTTAGACCATTGAGCTGGTATCTAACACAGTTAATGTCTAACCTTACTGATAATTATATTATATAGTTATTCATAGGAAACAATCTAATTATGAATCACTTGATATTGTTTTACTTGAATCTTCCTATTGATGTTTAGAACTGCAATTGATCAGTTTCTTATTAGCGTATGTGCATACTGTGCGTATTGCCTTGATATTGTCTTAATTTACAAGCATTATAAGCAAAGATGGATAGTGACGAACAGTAAAATCGAGGACGTCATCTGAGTGAACATCAACTCTGAGATGCAGGTAAATTCAATTGACGAGTCTCAAATAGGACGAAGCGGCGTGCGTCCTGGATTCCACTGTTAACCACTATCCATCTTTGATTATGAATCAGTTTACATACAGCATTAATGTATCCAACACATCATTGTAAATAATATAGACAATGAGGTCATGTACATTTAATGATTATATGAATCCATTTGTTTTCATTTATGTACATGTATACATTTGTTGTTTTTTTTTCTTTTTCAATGATTTATTAAGATTACACTTTCTCATATACATATACATGTATATACATGTTACCAACACACACACACACACATACAAACATACATACATACATACATACATACGTACAAGTACACATTACATAGATTTACAATAAAACAACATTAACCAAATATATCAACCTGTTTATTGAATTTTTATTAAACAGCAAGGAATTTTTCTTTCCTTTTTATTAAAAGAGAAAAAAACAAAAAACAAAACAAAACAAAAATATATTCTAATATCCAATGAATTTGATTGGTTCAATTGTTCCAATGAAAAAGAAAAAGAAAAAAAAGAAAAAAAAAGAAAAGAAAAAAGAAAAAAAATACACAAACTCTTACTATGTGAATAATTCAAATTGATAAAAGAGGTAAATGAATGAAAAGAAAACAAGTTCTTGTTAATAATGAATTATATGAAATAGTATCTATGTAATATTGTAATATAGAAACATTGAATATGTTTATCATAATTTGTGGATAATATATGAAATTTATAAATCTCTTTATAAATAATAATAATAATTAGAATATTGTATATTTCATTTTATGAATCAAAAATGAGGTAAGTCAAATTGATCTATTCTGTTTTTAAACTAAAAAAATTAATTAAATAGTTCAATTTATGAGTTGATTTAAAATTAAATCATTATTGGAAAATCTGGAAGGATTTTATGAATGTTTTGTTGTAGTATGGAACTTCTACAGCAGTGGGTATCCACGAGCCAACCTCGCGAAATTTGAACTGAGGATCTATAGGTCTCGTGTACATGAACGTTTAATATGTAGACCATTAGGCCGGTATTCAAAAATTTTAATGTATAAGTTCAACTAATCCAATAAATTGAGTGATACATCCAACATTGTCTTTAGTGAGTAACTATCTCACAACAAACTGGGTTAAACTTCACTGACCACGGCTTCTCACTAGAACTTTAGGAAATACATTTTGAAGCCAGTCACTTATGAGCATAGATTGGTTAATATGAGAAAGAATTTTGTGGATATTATAGTAATTTTAATAGTTGAGATCATGAGTCAATTAAAGGTAGACCAACATAGAAAATCTGGAAGCATTGTATGGACGTTTCGTTCTAGTGTGAGACTCCTACAACAGTACGTATCCATGATCCCACCACTCGAGATTTAAACCCATGATCTATAGGTCTCGTGAACATGAACGTTTAACATGTAGACCATTAGGCCGGCATTCAAAAATGTTAATGTCTAAATAAATAATATATTTGTAATATCCCAATGAGTAGAAAATTAGATTTTCGGACATTTCGTGACTTAGTGTAAGTCACTTCTTCAGAGAATAAATAACCAAATTAAAATTAATCCAAGTTTAAATAGTACAAAGGAACAATGCAAGAATAATCTTTGACCATGTAATAAGAAGACGGAGATTATCAGAACTATGTGGTGACATATTAGCGCAATACATTTCGAACAATCTGATCACATATATACTTGTTAAGAGCATTTATATATAAAAATAAAGGTCAACTAGACTGGAAATGAGGTAAGAAGAGATAATAATAATAATAATAATAATAATAATAATAATAATGAGTAATAGTAATAATCTGAACACAATTCAAAACTTAATCACTCTGGATAATAAGTCAATATTACCAGGGTAGGTTTAAGGTAAGAACAAACTGTTTTTGAATACACAAAGTTCAACTCATCCAAGATATTGAGTGACACATCCACCATTGTCTTTAGTGAGTTACTATCTCACAACTATTGGGGACGTCAGATCCCCAGAACTCACTTGGAAAAGGACCTAATTTTGTAATTTTATTTAGAAAATTCGAATTTCTTTGTTTTCGCGTCAAAAGCTCTCTTGTCACCTTCATGTCGTATTTCTCGCTTTGGAAATATCTTAAATACTATTGGTCCGTTACGTCTTTTAGTATGCTATTTGGTAACTCTCCTAAAGGACGGTTTTGTGCTGCATATATATGTTTTGATTTGTGTTTGTTGTTATCGCTTGTTTCTGGCTGTTTGTAGAATATACTTCCCCATTCCAAGCTTGGACTTCTTCCTCTAGTTAGTGGGGGCTGGGACGCATCAAATAGCTTGCTTATTGGTCTTCGGTCACAAGTCTTTATTCCATTCTCATAATAAGTGAATTCGTGATAGCTTCAAACCTAGCAACAACAAAACGGGTTAAACTACACTAGTCACTGCTTCTCACTAGAACTTTAGGAAATACATCTTGAAGTCAGTCACTAATGAGCATATATTGGTTAATATGAGAAAGAGTTTTGTGGATATTATAGTTGATATGATGAGTCAATAGAAGCTAGACCACTATAGAAAACCTGAAAGCACTAGACGGTCGTTTTGTCTTATTGTAAAACTTCTCAGCTGGCTTTCTATGGTGATCTAGCTTCAATTAACTCATGATCTTAACTATCAAAATTATATCATTATGTCTATTATTCACATAAACCATTCAAGTGCTTTTATGAAATGTTCACTACATTTCTATGTGCAAATTACAAAAACTGTACAATTAAAGATATCATGGTGGTTGGTAGACAATATACATTGAAAAGAATGAACATGATTTAAATATCAATTCCTAAACTGCTAATATCTCATTGGTGATCACTCAATGTTTACCGTCAGGATCGATGAAGAAATAAGAGAAGTGGAGACTTGTTGAAATACGTTTTACTGAGATTTCCATATTGTTCCAAAGACATAATATTGAATAAATCCATTAATAATAATAATACACTTAGATATCACCAAGTAAACATTGATAGTACTCATCATTTTTAAGCACTTTATACATAGAATTTAAACAATATTCTTCATTCAATTGATTGATATTTGTTCTAATTTCAATGATTAAGATCATGAGTCAGTTGAAGCTAGACCATCATGGAAAACCTGGAAGCAAGGTCCTGGGTTCGAATCTCGCAGGGGGCGCACTGCTGAGGAGTCCCATAATAGGACGAAACGGTCGTCCAGTGCTTCCAGGTTTTCCATGGTGGTCTAACTTCAACTGACTCATGATCTTAATCATTGAAATTACTACAATCTCCACAAAACCCTTTCTGATATTGTTCTATTTATATCTTCCCATCATTATTTAAAACTGGCAATGGATCATTTTCATGTTGACATCCTGTGCATCCTATGTGGATATTACCTCGATATTACCGTTAAGTCAATAGTTTCATACACAAAGATTGAACATAGAAATTCATTTAATTGTCAACATATTCATACAACAAAACTTTTCTAATAATCTAATCGATTATATGGTATATTCCAAAGATATAAAACTTAAACAAAAGTAGAAGAAAACACGTTTGATATTCATTTGTCAACAAATTGAAGGTGGCTTTGTTTTGTGTTCTTTTTTCTTCATGACTTCTTGGATGAAATCGAATCTACTTTTTGTTGTTGTTAGACTTGAAATTAGACATTAACACTGTTAGATGAGGGCTCAATGGTCTACAGGTTAAGTATTCTCGTGCAATATTAAAGGTTCTGGGTCAGTGTCTCATTTTCGGGATCATAGAGGCTCATTGTTGAAGAGTCTCATGCTAGGACGAAACGGTCATCCAGTGATACCAGGATTCCTATTGTCGTTTAGCTTAAATCGACTCATGAATCCGAATATAAAAGATAATTCATTTCAGAATGTTATATTACCGGTTGGTGACAGAAAGCTTACAATTCTAGTTGAATGCTAGTTGAAAACTATCAGTAAAGTAGTAATTTGACCTTGAGGAAATCGATGCATCACTAAGTGTCATTGTCAAGCAAGTCTGATATTCATTTGTGAATAAATTGAAGGCGGCTTTGTTTTGCTTTGTTTTCTTCTACATGACTTTTTGGATGAAATCGAATTTACTTTTTGTTCTCGTTATTGTTGTGTTTGTTGTTGTTATTCGGTAAACATCAAGACAAGTATGACAACTTGATGTAAGTTGTTTCATTCTCCTTTCCTCTTTTTTTTTAATTCACCGATTTTCTAGTACTTTAATGTATAATAGTTGATCTTCTAAAATTTTGAAAAAATTACACAAAGATGCTTTCAATAGAAATCGATATTAGTTCAGTAAAAATGGATAAGAAGAATATTATTTTTCAATAGTTGAATTCATGAGTCGATTTTAAATTAGACTATTATTGAAAGCATTAAAGTATTCGATAATTGTTTAGTTCTAGTATGGGATTCCTAATCCACAATTCTATACAAGAGATTCGAACACAGGACCTTCAGTCTTGATCGCGAATAATTAACCTCTAGATCATTGAGATCATTGATCCAAGCTAGTCACTAGCTTCAAAATGGATTTCTTGTAATTCAAGTGAGAAGCCGTGACCAGTAAAGCCTAATTCGTGTCAGATGAAGACACCTATCAATCTCAAACAATAGATGAAGGGTTATGCAAATCATGGATCGATTGAAACTAAATATTAACGCCACTGGATCTTGTCCCAATGGTATAGAGTTCAGGCGTTCACGTGCGAGACTGAAGGTACAGGGTCCGAGTCCTGCGTGCGGAATTCTGGATGCGAACTGCTGAGGAGTCCTGTACTAAAACGAAACGGCTGTTCATTGATTCCACATTTTCACTAGTGGTGTAGCTTAGATCAACTCATAAATTTAACTATTAAAATTACTATAATCTCCACAGATCACCATTATAAAAAGAATATTTCCTTTCAATTAAAATTTGAAGTTTGTAATGATTACTTTAGATGAGGAAATACCTTAAAACACAGAGTGACTTTAATTAGACAATCATTGAAATTACATACTAGGCGTGTAATCTAGAATTTTCAAACTAGATGGTGATTGGAGGTAGTCGACAGGAAACCCTGGACCTGGATTTCGTTCTACTTGGCACTCGTCAGCAAGGTGTACCGGTAATCTTTGAGGGAACTGGTGATCCCTGGCGGATTCGATCCGGTGTCACCCAGCTTCACAATCAGAGACGTTACCACTGAGCTATCCGGGCCGCGACCGACCTCCTGTAGGACTGATATGTAATCACAATTGATTGATCACTGGGTAGTGACCAATCTCATGCTTGTCTAGTCTTTATTTTTAGTGCAGATCGAATGTTATCGACCATGTTGCAATGTGGCCACCAGTCTAGGTGACTCGACACTGCGGGCACTATTGGTCGATAACATTCGATCTGCACTAATAATAAGGACTAGACACGTATGACATTGGTCACTACCCAGTGATCAATCAATTGAGAATTTTTAAACTGTTCTGTAAACACCTAAACATTTGAACAGTTAATTTGGCGAGACTACAATTTATGGACGAACCAATCAGATTTAAAATAACAGGTCTGGGATTTTAGCGCGAAATCCATTCATATATTGGGTCAAATACTATTTTAACATCATAGCTGATGTTAGTTCGTGATGAAAACACTAAATCTAATCCTTAACCCTAATCGTCAACTATAAATCATAATTATAATTCCTCACATTGTTTTATAACCTTCATTAAGTCCTAGTTAGTAGATGGACATTTACAAGGTAGTACATTTTGTATACAACTACACATTG